TGCCCCATTCCGGGAGAGCCGTGGGGGCCCGGCACTGGGCACGGCCATCCCGGGAGCTGGGCATGGGCAGGATTCCAACTCCAACTTCATGGGAGAGGTGTGTGACAGCAACGAGAACTGGAGCTGGGCAGCGCCGGGGTCCCCGCTGGAGGAGAGCTCCAGCCAGAGCGAAAACACCACAAATCCATCCCATAATCTGCTGTTATTAACGCAGAGACAGATGGTCCAGGGCCGACTTAGGTACATCGCCCCCGGCCCGGGCACCTTGCGGCCGCGTCTCCCCGAGCAGGGGGTGCGCAGCCCCCCCGAGGGAGCAGAGGTCGGTGGGGCAGGGGGCCAAAACGCCGCTGAGGAGCCGTCTGGGGGATGCGGCAAGGCCCCGAGCTCCCCTGCTGAGGACAACGGCTACGCCAGCAGCTCCCTCAGCATAGACAGCCCCGAAAGCGCCCGCGGGAGCTCCTGGGCCCCTCTGGCCGCTGTCCCCCTCCCTGTGAGCCCACCCCATCTGGGGACAGCCGAGCCTGAGCCGGGGACCCTCTTCCCAGCGCTGGCAGAGGCCGTGCAGCACCTCCAGGACAAGGAGCGCTTCAAGGAGCGGGAGAAGGAGAAGCACCACATCCAGCTGGTGATGTACCGGCGCCTGGCCCTGCTGCGCTGGATCCACGGCCTCCAGCAGAAGGTGGTGGACCAGCAGAACCGGCTGCAGGAGAGCTTCGACACCATCCTGGACAACCGCAAGGAGCTCATCCGCTGCATGCGGCACGGCACGGCGTGTCCCGCCTCTGCGGCCACTCCCAGCCCCTGAGGTGCCACCAGCACTGCCACGTCCCAGCCCTCACACCTCCCGGCAGCGTGGGGCTGGCTTGTGGCATCCCTGTGCTGTGCCCCGGTGCTGAGCACCCGCTCTGTCCTCCCCATCGCTCTCCAGCGTAGTTGAGAGTCCCTGACACATTCATCTCAGTTTTCCCTCTGCCAGGGAACTCGTGTCCCTCTCCACCGTGTCCCACCACTCTGGGGACCATGTGGCATTGGGCTGGGTAGACCTCAGGGCCCTGGGGTTTGCTGAGCCCGGGGTGACGAGGCTCATCTTTTAAGTCTAATTTATGGTCCTTTGTATGAGCCTGGCTGAGCCGCACGGGACGGGCCCTCAGTGAGCTCCTGGTGCGGGAGTTTCAGGGCAGTGAAGCTTTTCAACATCCCTGGGCAAAGCCCTTCAGCATGTGCTTGGGCATGGGCACGAGCCCCCGTGTCACCCACATCACACCCCCACTGGTGTGCACCGTGGCTGGTGCTTTCGGGGCGGGCAGGGCGTACTGAGCTGTTCTCAGGACTCACCCCAGTGCGCTGCCTGATGAGGCACCTGTAAAAGCTTTGCAGATAAAATCTAAACTCATGCAGAGAGAGAGAGAGAGGAAAAAAAAAAACCAAACATTCTGAAAAGTGACCTCAGAACGCTTAAAAATAAATGTAAGTGTCAAGTGATTCAAATCCAATATATATTTTTTAGATTCAGTATTAGAGAAGAGTTAATTTAGATTTTTCCTTAGAGCCGGTGTGTATGGGCACATCTGTCTGTCGCGGAGATGCTTTAACACGGTGCATGATCAAGAAGCTGCTTGCAAAGTGGTGCTGTTGGTGTTTATATTCATTTATCATTCGAAAGCAAAGAGAAGAGGGGTTTTTTGGTTTTTTTTCTAATTTACATTTTATCCAGTGAGGACTGCATGCAGAATACAAACAACAATCTTAAATAGAGATTACAGAGGAGATGCCGTGTCTGTTTGCTGTGCTTTACTCGGTGTTCAGGTGACGTGTGTTCTACTGGAGTTGCTGATGTGGAAGGAGCAGCAGCCGGGTGGTTTGGCCACAAGCCGGGGGCTCAGCCAGGACCGCGCTCCCCATCCTGCCCGGAGTCGCTGTGCAGAGCCTGGCACTACTGATTTAATTTCTCGTCTGCAAAAGGAGGGTGATGAGAGATTTCAGACTTGCTGTGTCTCCCCACCCAAACTTCTTCCTGCTGTTGGAGGAGCAGAGCTGAGAGTTGGCTCAAAGCGATGGCTTGGGAGGAGTCTGGCACCATCCCTTGCCCGGCTGCTGCTGCGCTCGCTGCCTCGCCGCCTGCCTGCTCACTGTGTCCAGCGCCTGCTGCCCGTGTCGTGTCCCAGACCTGTGATCGTGGGCATGTTGCACACCTTAATAAAAGCCTTGGAGGTGACTGAGCCGAGCCCCGGCTGGATTTGTTCCTTTGTTGCCCTTCCCAAGCCTGCCTAGGACGAGAGGGAATGGCCTCAGGCTGTGCCAGGGGAGGTTCAGGTTGGATATGGGGAGAAGTTTCTTCTCTGAAAGAGTGGTCAGACATTGGAACAGGCTGCTCAGGGCCGTGGGGGGGTCACCATCCCTGGAGGTGTTTGAGAAACGTGTAGATACAGCACTCAGGGATTTGGTTTAGTGGGCATGGTGGGGATGAGTGGACGGTTGGACTGGATGATCTTGGAGGTCTTTTCCAACCTTTCTGTGACTCTGGGTGTGCAGTGGGGATGCACGGCTGCCCTGTGCTTCCTGCAGCAGCAGCTGGTTGCAGACCCAGGTCTGGGCACCCTCATCTCATCCCTGCACCCCTGGGATCTCATCCCTGCACCCATCCTCACTCCGGCAGCTGATTCCTGCTCCATTTAAAAGCCTTTTTGCTTTTAAAACCTCGAACGTGACTCTGCTCCTGGCTCTCCCCGTGGCTGTAGTGTGGTGGGTGATGGGGTGCAGGATTTACCCTCCACACTGGGAGAGCATGGCTTGGACTGGGGGGACCAGATTCCCTGGACACCCACCCTGCCCTGCGGCCCCCACTAATGGGGAGGGCTGGGAGGCAGCTCGGGGCAGATGGGGACGGGAGATAAAAACACCTGAGTATTGACCCAAAGGTGACTTTGCCTCAGGCCTTGCAGAGATTAACTAGAGATGAAAAAAGCGAAGCTGTAACAGAGCTTTGAACCTTCCTTCACCTTCCCCCCCACCTCTCCTGCCTCTCCTTTCCAGCCTCTGGATCTGTGGGAATTCAGGGATGCCATAGTCCTTCTGCAGACGCAGGGGCTGGGTCAGCCATTCATGAAGAGCAGCGTCTGCATTTTTCTGTCCTTCTACGTGCCCTGCAGCCGGGGCTACGAGGAGGTTTGTCCCCATCCCTTGGCTGCTTCCATGGGATGTGTCTGTGCTCAGCTTCGAGGCCAGTTTTCCAGCTCGGCTGCTGCCGGCAGAGCCATCGCTCCGGCAAGTTCAGGAGAACATGAGACCTCCCAGCCCTGCAGAGAAACCCAGTGATTCTCTGTTTATCTTGGTCAAATGCTTTACACAAATAATTATTTCCAAGGTAAATATTGTGAATATCCAGATTATTTGCTCAAGAAATGAAAGAATAACTGCGGGAGGACATCAAAGTGGTGGATCTGCTCCGCAAGCAAGAGGCTTCCCCCTCGGTTATTGGGAGCCCCAGCGCTTGTGCCGCCGGAGCTGCGCTGAGATGGCCAGTGCTGATTTACAAAATCAAATGCAGAGTTTTTTTCCACCCCCTGCCCCCAGCTCCGGTGCCCAAATGAGATTTGTGAATTAATTAAAAACCCAACCAACTGCAGAGGGAAAAACAATAAAGACACAAAAAGCTGCCAAGGTTGAGTCTGGGACAGCTTGGGGGAAGCCAAGCCCCCTGGGCGTTCGAACCCCCGGAGACTGTGACCCTGCAAACCCCCTGCACCCAGCTCCCGCTGCCCATGTGGATCCAGCCCCGTGCAGGGTGGGTGCTACGGGCAGGCACCAGCTCAGGGCTGGGGACAGGGACCACGCCGGGATGTCCCCATCCTTGGGCATTTCCATGTGTCTATAAATACGGGGCTGGATTCTCAGCTCACAGATGGAGAACACGGCTCTTGGGAGATGATCCAGATCTCCAGATCTCCTCAGATCAGTGGGAAGAGCAAACATCACTGGTGGGATCTGGATCAGGCCATTGTGTGGGGATGGATGGAAGTGGGGAGCCGTGTTGGGGCTGGGGCTCACGCGTGGTCACTTCACCAGCACAAGCGAGTGATGGACCCCGGGGCACGTGAGCTTGAATTTCCGTGCACAGCAGACAGGGCCCTTTGTTTTTAAGGTCTCCTCTGAACATTTATTGTTATGATTACATTAAATCCCTGTAACACTGGGCTGGTTTTACTGCAGAAAGCAAGATTTGGCAAATGTTGCCTTTCTTTGAAAGTTAAAATAATAACATTATATAAAAAAAAAATCAAGTATTTATGAAGCTTTGGAGGGAAATAATTGTACTTTGTAATCTGAATCCGTTCTAACTCTTTCCAGTATTTTGTGGGCTTAAAAAAAAAGTCTTTAAAAATAAAATCGAATGATGTGATATCTGATGCTATGAAAGTACAAATGAAAATTAATCATCTCAGGCCGTTAACATCCAGAGATCCAGACTGGGACACACTTAAAACATCCTGGGATCCCCTGTTTATTGTGTCTCAGAGACTTCCAGGTCTTTCTGGTTTGGTTTACAGCAGGAAAAGGGCTTTCCTCTGCTCTGGGCTGGCAGGGTGAGCCCTCCCCAAACCCCAAACACTGTACCTGGGCACGGTGAGGGGCTCCACACCCCCAGGCAGCCCCGGGGTCCCACCACCACCATCCCTCCTGTCACTCCCCGGTGCACGGAGGAGTGAGGCTGCCCGGAGAGATGATCTCAGCCCTTATAGGATCCATATGTGCTGCAGTGCTGAGAGCACCTGCCGCTGCCGGGGAGGTCTGGGAGGGTGGCGGGGAGCAGAGGGGCTCTGTCCTCGCTGTGCCCCAAGCAGGGCTTGGCCGTCCTGCTCGCAGGCATCTGAGCCAGGCAGCTGAGAGCCTTTTCCACACAGCCTTTGATCCAGCTCAGAGTGGCACAGATCCTGCAGCACCATCCAGAGTGATGGGGGAGGCAATGGGGGAAAGGAGAGGGTCTGGGTCCAGGGCAGGAGGGGAGCATTGCCCACGGGATGCTTGGAGGGAGCCGGGGTGCAGGATGCCTTTGCTGCTCTGCCTCTTAGCAGAGAGATGATGCCCCTTGTCTAGCCAGGCTTTGTTTTCCTGCAGCCCTGGCTATGTGGCACCGAGCAGTGGGCACCCGAGGGCCAGAGGCAGGTCCTGGGGGCTTGTACATGGCCCTGACCCTCAGTGCATCCCTCCTCTCCCAGCAGCGTCCACTGGGACAGACCCCCCGGCTGCTGGACCTGTCCCTGCAGCGTTTGGGGACTGTCCCAGAGCCATGCCAAGGCCATCCCACAGCCCTGCACCAGCGCTGCCTGGGAGCTGTCACCTTTCCTCCCTTGGCCAGACAACCGAGTCCAGTGCCATGCTGGTTGAGGTCCTCCTGCACCCCAGGAGCCCCTGTGCAGCTGCTGGTCAGTGACCTCTGTGAGAGCAAAATACAAACCCAACAGCACTCTGAGTCATTCCATGCCAGCCCAGTCAGAGCTGCTGACATTTCAGCTTATTTGGGCATCAAGGACCATGTTTGGGATTCAACCAAAACCACTCAGCCCCTTCCCTGCCCCAGGTGCTCCGGTGTGTGGCTGGAGTGAGACTCACACTATTTTTCAGGCTGTTCTCAATCCCTGATGTTTTATACTTAATTTTAAATGCATTATGTTGGTGGTATAAATCCAGTCACTGCAGCCTCCTGCTTGGAGCAGAACAAAGCGGCGCTGGTGCTGAGAGCTCGAGGTGGAAGGCTGGGAGGTTTGGGAAATATTGGGGTCTTTCCCCCTCCCACGCTGCTGATGC